CAAGGTATGCACTTTCCAATCAAAAAAAATCATCAAATCCGGAGTACTTATACATAAAAAAAAAACAAATAAAGACGATGATCCGATACTCGTTTAAAAAGTACCACACATTTTATTGAGAAAAACTTGAAACTTGTTGCAGGGTTTATTTGCACAAATAAAGTTGTGAGCGGGAACTGCACTCGACAATTGTATTTAATGCTTAATACATATAACCGTCATTTGCCAGTTTAATCAGCTGTTTTTGTATTGATTTGAATTAATTTTGGGAGTTTTTTGTTTGCTCAGTTGAAAAATAATTACAATCGCCGGGTAGGCAATCGAGAGCGACTAATACAAAAAATAATGCTAAAAGAACCGGTACGCATTGACTCCATCCCAAGGTCGCCTGTTATTGTTGTTATTATTATTCAAATGAATTTGACTCTAAACAAAGTGAATAAACATTTGTGCATACATACATACATACCCTTGTATATAATAGAGGTCTATTATTTTTGTAGCTAAAATTATCCGCTTTTTGTCGAATATGCACCATTTTGCTCGACAACTTTTTGTCAGTCTTCTCTTGAAGGCAATGTCTCTTTTATAGAGACTCTTGTACCGATTGGTGAAAAAATTAAACAATCGATCTTCGCAGTCTTACCTTGATGCCAACTCTTCACCGACCAAATCATACGGCATAGACAAGAACAAATGGTAATCACTTGTCGCGAAGTCCAGACTATAAGGTCGACCAAGCTCTTAGAGCTTCTAACGAGTCACACTGATGTGTGGAATCCGAAGTTGTTCTGATGAAACACAATATCCCTTCTGTTGGCCAAAGCAGGACGCTTCGGGACGGTCCAATTTCTGCGAGTACAGGCGCGAATTAAGAGTTTGGCGGCAGAGAAGCAGCTCCTAGCGAATGATTACTTGCCAAGACCTCCAAAATACACAACAAAACCTTCCTAACGGTCAATTTTGGCTTAGAGGCTTCCCTTCCACCACGATTGTTACCGCTTGACGTTGCTGTAAGTGCTGAACTTTTCATCACCAACCACTATTCGCATCAGAAATGGATCGATTTTGTTACGTTTCAGCAGCGTTTCGTGGATAGATGTGAGATTTTTTTCCGTCAACTTATGTGACACCCATCAATCGAGCTTCGTTGTGTATCCAGCATTTTTCAGGTGGTTCCAAACTTTTTTTTGTACAAGCTTTTACTACTGAGTAATTCAAATAGTGCTCGCACAACGATACGACTCGACAATTTCCATTATTTTACCGTCATTTTCGACAAGTGACCTTCAACACCGTGAACCATCTTTTGCATCAAAAATATAGAAACGAAATCGACTTAACTAAGATTAGGCAAAAGTAAATGCACTGTTTCGCTTACCGTGTAGTAGACTCAGTGGTATCATAATAGGCCCACTTGGGGCAAGAACCAGAGTTGCTCATCTGAAGGTAAATTATGCGTTACTGACGGTAAATTCAGAGTCCACAATTATCGTCTTAGCTATGACCCGAAAAATGTTAGCCTGTACAGACAACCAAAGTGTTTCTGGTCCACTTACATTCCTGTTCTCTGAGAGCACTCATCGACAACTCTATACGCGTATATGTAATCACCAACAGAACAGTTGGTTTTTGGCATGGCTAGTGCGATGAAAATTACCGTGTCGCAGTGGAGGGGAAAAAGACCGCCTGCTTTGCAGCGCTGCGAATGGTATGCTGTTGGCGAGATCCCAGAGTAGCAGAGGGAAGGGAAGCTAATTTGCAGACAGCAAAATTAGAAAGGCTTGAAGTATAAAAAGATTGAGAGAGAAGAGATGACCGAATATTCTGTGTGAAAATGTAGCGACTAAACAAAGGTTCGAAGACCGGAGCAGACTCTTGTTGGCCACAGAGAGATGAACTAGTGACTGATGCCCAGAGTATAGTGAATTTAAGTACGGAAAATTTCTCCAGCGTGCTTAATGGCAGTTAAAATGCAGCAGCCGGACTACTATGACGAGGTTCGAATAGCGATTGCCCGTTTAATGAATAACAAAGCAGCTGGAGCCGCGCTATTTAAACATGATGGATAAGAGCGAACACGTTGCAGGCATCAGTTTCTTTGCGAAATATAAGCGATTTGACCTAAAGTGTGCTCTGCCCAATCCACAAAGAGGGTGGTCCCACAGGCTGTCTGATCTAGCGTATGGTGTGAAAGACTATGTAAAGCTCACCGTCAACGATCTGATGAAACTTTGTAAGTGTGACTTCAAACCTGATAAATCCACCGATTTTATTTACTCAACTGCCTTCTTTCGCTACCAGAACAGAAGAACTTCAAAGTGTAGACAGAGAACATCCGGATACCCCTCATACTTAATTTATAATGCTGCCTTTGGAATGATCCATTTTTTGTTTTGTCACAACGCAGCTTTTAGTAAACTCTAGGCTCACCACTACCTATAGATCATCATCACGAGCACCCCATTCAACTCCATTACAATTCAGTCCACCGTCGATTGTATAACTTGTTTGTAAAACATGTCGTAAAATGAAAATTTTATGGTTACACAATGGCATGAGACCGCAGCACAAGCCGCTTACTGCGCGTTGCTTCTAACTTTTTATGATCGTTTCTTACCTCCTTCCTTCCATGGCTTGAAGTGTATTTCGAAACGCTTTGCATCCGGCTACATGGCAGCAGAGGATGAAGACGACAAAAGCTCACAACAATGCTCTGCAAGCCATTCTTGACTTTGCATTGGCGCACGTGTAAACAACAAGCACAGTCGGCTGTGTACATAAATATGTACAAGTGTGTATGTAGTTTTCTGTTTGTGCGATCGCATAAAACACATAAAATCTAAGGTTTTTCTTGCGTACCGTTCGTTGCGTTTGCTGCACAACAAAGCACACAATTTACATACAAACATAACTCTGCCCGAATCGTAGAGATTGCGACAGCGAAGGTGGGTAGCAATCAGGTGGGCAGTGCCGGTTAAGGTAGCGGCAACCAAACCGTTGGTTAAGGAATGCACTTGGCTTCTTGGCTTGATGTATTACACTACATTTGTGCATACATACAGACGTACGTGTGTGCATGTACTTTATGTGTGTGTGTGTGTGTGTGTGTGTGTGTATGTGTGTACTTGTAACAGAACCCGAAATTGTTTGTTATGCGACGCCATGCCCTGCTTGGCTCGCTGCTTGGCTTGGCCGTCTGACAACAGACGACTGACGATTGCCTGCCTTGTCGACGACGATGGGCTGGCTGGTTGGTTGGCTGGTTGGTTTGCTGTGCTGGCCAAAAAGGGGCGTGAGGAGTGTTATTACTTGATTGCTTGGATATCGCAGTTGATTTGTTGTTGTTGTTATTGTTGCATTTGCCGTTGCACTGAATTTAGGTCAACACATTTACAAAGTATTTTTATGTTTTCTTCGTTTTTTTCCGGTACCTTGTACGCTTGTTATTCTTTGCTGTTCGTTATTTTTTGGTATTCTCAGCTTTTTGCTTTTATGCATATACATATATAAATACTCGTACATATGTACATATGTATGTATATAACGCGCAGTTCTTATTCTTCCTTTAAAGTTTTTGATTGTTTTCTTATTCTTGTTCTCATTTAGTATTCGTCGGTTAATTTTTTTTCTTTTTTCTGTGTGTATGTTGTCTCTCTTCCTTCTCTGCTTGAGTACGCTCTTGGCTTGGCTGCGGGACGGCGTGTAAGTAAGCACGACGCCGCGTTATGAAAGCCAATTTAATTCGGTCACCACCGAACTTATTCCAATTATAAATGCTTATTTTTAATTTAATTGCTTTGTGGGGAAAGTTTTTATGGTTTTAAGGAATTAATTTACGGGTAAACGCCGTTTTCGGAGGAGAAGAGAATTAAGTGCGCTCTTCGCTACTCTTCTAATGGTATTACATCTTATATATGTATGTACATACATATATGTGTGTTGAACAGTGGGTTTATGTATATGATTGTATATAGTTCGATGCAGCTTTTTACATTTATTGTAAAAAGTGGAAAGTTTCCTTTATATTGAACTTAAATTACATATGTATGTACACACATACATTCATACCTACGCGTACACGGCACAAACACCCTTTTTACATGCCGCTGTTAATCTTTATTACGCATCTATTCGTGGGAAATCGTTTTTTTTTTCTTAATTTATCCATACCCTTAAAGTACTGTTATACAGTGTTATCCATTTTGTGGTTTCGAAAATAAACGTAAAAAAATGCTATCTCAGCTCATTTTTCACTTGGATTTTTGTGAGTTTAGTTTTATTGAGCTGTCTCAGAACATATTTTTGGTCCAAATTGTTGTTGTAAAATTTTTCACTACCCCAAACAGCCACAAAAGCGTTACAGCCAGATCTTGTACTAATTGAAGAAATGGCGCATAAAAGTTAATGAAAACAAGTTGAAACCCATTACTGTTAAGCTCAATAGTGTGTCGATCCACTTGGACAGGCGCTTAGCCTGCTAAAAAGCGGCAGCTTAAACTCAAATCTACCAGTTTACATTGGCTTTTAAACAAGAAGTCCGAACTTAGCCTTAGAATCACAGTCCTCTTATATAATGGAACAATAAAACCGACCTAGATGTATGGAATCCACTTAATTCAATGATTCCAATCGAAAGCGTTAAGAGTAATAACGGGCGCACCATGGTAAATGCGCAATGAAAATATCCATTGAGACCTAATTATACTTACCGAATTGAAATCGCAGCAAAAAAAAATACTTAACAAAACTGCGTTATCATCCGAACCCTTTGGTTAACACCTTGGTCCATGCAACAAGTCAAACCCGCCCATGGAGAAAAGACAAAGCAGCCTTCTAAAGAGCGACGTCAAGCCAGCAGCACATTCCTAGTAAATAAATATTAATATTTAAATTAAAAAAAAATTATCCCAAAAAATATGGTCTAAGACAGCTCAGTAATTAAAATGTATTTAAAATAACTGTTTTATTAAATTCCTTTGAGCCTTGGCCTCGTGTATTTTCACAAACTTCGATCACTTTGAAGAAATTTCCGACCACTTTTTATCACATACGTGTAACGGCAACTCAGTGATAATTTGACGAATGTTAATTTTCAACTGCTCAAGAGTCTATCGCGTAGACCGACAACAAAAAGTCCAACGCTGTCTAACCGCACGGCCTGGGTGGCTAATTGACTTTGCTAAGATGAGAGATTACGCGGTCGGAAAATTGTTCTCGTAATAATAAAGCCATATTCGCTCGTATTGTGTGCTCCACCTTGTTGAACCGCATACTTTGCAACACGTGTCCTTCAATTTCAATCCGAATAAAAACGATTATCATACGACCATTACGCTCCGAATTGACAGTGATAGACTCCCCGTTGTCGCTTTCACAGAAGTAAGGCTCAGTCAAAGTCAGGTGTAATGGCCTCTCTTCAATTATGTTAGGCTTCTCGGAGTCCCAAAGGCGACGCATCCACCGAGCGAGAAATGTGCTTTGCCGCTGAAAAAAATAATCGCTTGTAGTTCAAAATAGATAAAAAAAATAGTTAAGTGGTATGTGTAATGAAAATTTTCCTTCCATACAGAGCTATTCTACTGCACGGGACTATCCAAATGTTGGCCGCAGACGAAGCCAACCTAAAATTAAACGATATACCAAAGTAGATGACTGTAGTCTTTATTCTATAGGCCGGTAAGATCATGCTTAGTAGCCCAAAGGACTTCAGGCCCATAAGGCTGTCGCCCTTCGCTCTTAAATCATTAGGAAGGATCAAGTCGCTTGGTTCACTTAACGTAAACTAAAAATTGTCCTGGACTAACCCTCATTTAGATTACATATTACAGGGACATAGAGGGAAATTGTAACAACAAAGCATATTCTTCTCAGACGGTCTGTCGTATACGACTACCAATCCGGCATCCCCAGGATTACGAACGCCTTTCTTGAACAGAATATCTTCAAGTCGACTTCATGAGATGGAAGCATCTGTCTATACTTATGGTCGAAAAAAAGCCACTCGGATCTTCTGAAACATTCTGCTTTCAATATGATTTCCACAACTCAGTGAATTATCGTCTTATCCGATGACACTGTCAGATGAAACGATGTTGAGCTCAAAATATTTAATAAATACATTTCAATATTGCACGACATAATAGCGCTCATATGCACGAGTATGTATGTAAATCAGAGGACAAAACAGATAGGATTTGGTCGACTTTAATGCGCCTTCTAGATAGTCAAATAACTATAAAGTAATGGCGCTGAGAATGCCTTCCCGCTCCAACCGACGTTACTACCCACTTCGTCCTTGCCCTAAATTTTCCTACTGAAGCGCCGGATTTAGCATTAGCTGATCCCACATATCCTTTAGCAACGGAACTTAATTCAGAGATACAACGTCTCCTATGGCGCTACTAAGCTTTAGACCATCGTCAAATCAGTGCCCGACGAGACGCAATGACCGAGTCAAAACTTCTTTCGGTGACTCACCTCTTCTGGGCCGAAGCAAAGAGCGAGCTATTTTAGCCGGTAAAAAAATACTCAAAAACTTATTGACAAACTTTTGGCTGACAAATTATCACTGGTAACATTAAAAAAATATTTTTTCCAAAGTCAACGGCATTTCGGAATGAAGATAATGCAAAATGCAACAGTAAAATGGCAATCAGAATTGTCAACACCACAGCAAATTGAGCCACTGAGAACTTCATTGTTGCAACTTGCAGATTCTCTTAGTATTCCAAACCGCTACAATTCGCCAACAACGGAAGTGCACAGCAATTTACAGCTAAGTAAACGCCTATTAACACAGTTCGCGAAAATTGAATATTAGTACCGCAACATGGCATGACATGGCAGCCATTCTTTCCTACGGTACTTATTTTTTCATCCTTCTGCCATCAGCTCATTCATGCAAAATTTCCACTTCTCACTCATTCATTGGCTAAAGTTGGAGTTTTTGCAATTTATTATCATGCTACCTGCAGCACCAACAACAACAAGTGAAGTAGTGAATTACTTGTTTAACAGTTAAACGGCAAAGAGGAAAATTGAGCGTAGCTAAAATCCATAAATATTATTTCTCATACCCGTTTCGCTACAGCGGGCTAAGTTAAGCTATACAGTTACATACCGTTTAGTCCAAGTTGAAGCTTTTGAATGAGGGTAAGACTTAAGGTACATTTAAATGGGGGAGTTTAGATATTTATTTTTTGGAAAACTAGTTTTCGGATTCTAAACAGCTTCTTTGCTATCTGCGTTGATCCTGGAATTGCATGTTATACTAGATTGTGGACGTGCGCAATGTCCTATTTCGAATACTTCTAACACCAACTCCCCGGGTTGTAATGGGGTGTAGTCAAGTTGCTGAGTATGCAGCTACAGTCGCGGGACTATATTCAATTCCTACTCTCGCGTCCACGACACGCACCGTGGAAACGTGAGCAACCCTTGTGAAAGATGCGCTAATCAGCCAGCGTGGAGCTTTGAGCCTCGGTTAAAAGAGAAGAAGTTTTAGTGAAGCCTGTAAGGACTAATTGCAGCGTCTGTTCGCTAGAGGTGCAGCTAAATGCGGGCGTCGGTCTGGAAGCAAATGACTCGCTATATAAATGTGTAAAAACTTAACTTTAACTTGACAAGCTTGTGTGCAGGGCTTGTGTTTCGCCAGCTCCAATGAACAACGCTGCGTATGAGATGTACTCCATCTGATGACGACCACTGCAAATGTACTAAGGGTATACAATTGGAAACCCAGGTATCGCTGTCCAGCTGGTTGATGTCCTCACTGAACTGTAGGCTGAAGTCACTGTCATCCAAGAAGTGCGATGAACGAGATAAGGGAAACCAGTAGGTTCAGGGACTTATAAGAACTTTGAAAGTTTTTGATGCAGAGAAATAATGTAATGTTGTTAATTCGGCTATAATCACGTCAGCAGTGTTTATGCCACTCAAGAAGAAGAACTAGCGTGAGTAAGATATGTACCAAGTTGGATACCTCATTCTCGCCGAAATCAGAAAAAAAATTTCGCCTATTGATGACGAAAGCAATCTAAGCCAGATTTAACGAAGACAATCTCACTCTCAATCTTATTCGATTATAGCCACTAGTTCCTTCTTTTACAGTTGAAGCCACCAAAAGAAGTCAAATATTCTCTCTTAGATTTTCATCAGCAAATATTTCACCGGAAGGTTTCCAAAAAGAGTTTTTTCGACTTACCTGATGTAGTCGCTGTAGTTTTACAAAGCTTATCGTTCCAGTATAACGACCTGACTCTCGCGGGACCTATTGCATTTTCATCTCCTCTTACAATGGACATGCCTTATCGGGGTTATCGTGTCAATATAACGACCTGACTCTCGCTCGACTCATCGGATTTTTTTTCGTCGGTCATCCCGTAATCTTAACCTAACCAGCATAGTTTTCTGTGTATTCTTTGGCGTAGGTACCGCTTATACGTTTATAGCCTAGGCAATAATAACGCACCAGTTGTTTCTTTTCTAGACGATCGGAGCCAATTTAAAACACCAAGTGACACAACGTGCTTTTCCATTTGTACCGGCGGATACTGCACCGAATACTTTTAAGCCTGAAGTACTTTTTCCATTATCTAACCGGCGAATTTACGCCTCTTAATTCCTCATCGCTCCATCAGCTGCGGTATTCGCCTTCACCCATATATATTTCGTAAAATCTTTTTCTCTAAAACTCCGAAAACTGACTCATCGGATGTTATCAACATCCACGGTTCTGCGCCCCCTGTCACTTGCCTACTCTGTCCAAAGTACCACATTTTAGTAATGGAAATTCTGCGTTGGATTTCAAAGCTAGCACTGTTGTTGGTGTTAAAACTGGTTCCCAGTTGGATGAAATGGTCTACAATTTTTGCACATGACTGACGTGATAGCGTCGTTTACTGTTAATGACAGTCGATATTTGACTATGAAATCTTTCCTTCTCGCTACTTACGGCGCGGTTGTTAAGTCCAATGCTCTCAATATCACACGAAACACAGTGACTTTGTCTAAAGCCTCGCCGAGTACTGAACAGTTCGGAGAGCTCCTTTCCGATTCTGACAGAGCTTTTGGTGTTACTCAACGTCAATTTCCATAGTCAAACTAAACTGAGACATGCACGTATGTAGTTACCATCAGCTTCCGCTGCTGCTTTATTCCTCAAGAGGGCAAACGATATTCGCACTTCATTAACTGTAGTTAGGGTTAGCTTTTTGTTATTATCATGGCGGGACCATGCCAGCTCTGATTGAATTTTTCGGAAAAGTTTTTTATTTCAAGTCAGTTTTACATTCCCAGCCGAGAGACAGGTTGCTTCACCCTTGCGTGTTAGAGATTCAAAAGTCTGCCCGCGGCAAGGTGGGCCTGTCGTGACTGAAATCTAACATTTCTCTCGGCTACAGGGTCTTTTAATATTTTATTGGTCCAACCAGAACTCATACTTCTGAGCTTTAGTATGGTGTCGCCCACAACTAATGCACAAGGTATTGCTCCGAAAAACCAAAGAACAGCTCTTGTGAGTTTTTATATGAGTCGTTTAATAAGAAATCTTCATAGATAACAGATTTTTTGTTTAAAGATTTTCACCCATGAGCGATACTTAATGGTGATAAGAAAACTCCATATTTCTAACCAAAATCCTCTTCTTTAAACGCGAGTATAAAAATCTGAGTGGACCAAACTGATGTGGACACTAAAAATGTAATTTTTTTCTTAGTAAAGCAAAATTTTAGTGATATGTTGGTACATGGTACCGTCCTAAAAGAATCGGCATGTCTTCATAGAAACATACATATTTATCGAATGAAGTTTTCCTCAAGCCTGCGCCAATCTTCCTAAGTTTTTTGTTTACCTATTTACTTCATATATGTATATATATATATTGTATGAGTATTATAAGAAATACCGTTAGCATACTAAAGTCCCATCATAAATATTAACTAATGAATGAGAGAATAGAAAGACGAGCTTAAGCAAGAAAAGCTAAAAAAACAAAAATCATTTAAGGGCTACCCAGGCAAGAAGTCAAGCCACAAAAATGTATGCACAGACAATAGGGCAGTGGACGAGAAGAAGTTAAAGTACCTACATACATACATATATGTATATATATAAGTACATACATACATATATATGGAAGCACCAACTTATAACCGTCTAAAAGAGCCTAATGTTGAGGGAAAGCGTGCAAGTGAAGCCAATGGGAAAGTCAAACACAGCGGCAGTGCCAGTGCCGGTGTCTGGTGAGAATATGTGAAAATCTTCCGTTTTAGTTGTGGCAAAAGCATCATATCATGCGGTGACGAACGATTTCTGGAGATCTTTGAAAAAAAGGAAATAATAATAATCTAATATAAAAGAAGAAGTCAAAAACTTCAATGTCTGGTACATAAAAAAAATGTACGGTTTGGTGTATAATAGCGTAGTTATCTGGAATGAAGGCAATTAGTTTGAAGCAACGCACCCATTGCCCTTTTTTCGCTTTG